GGGCCATCGGCGGCCGATCGACGGCCACCCTCCGCTGCCTCCAGGTGACCGACTTTGTGGTGCCCTTCACGCTCTTCTCCTGCGACCCCAGCGGACAGTGGATCAAGCTGACGGGCAACAAGGGCAACAACAGCGCCGGTACTGACCCACTGCCCAGCTGCCGCAGCATGCTGCTGGGCCGAAGCAGTCGTCGCGGCCGACCCAGTCACTTCCACCACCACTACTACCACTACTACCAGAACGGCGAGACGCCCGCCAATCGCACGTCGATCATCATCTTCGGCCGACAGATCAACGACAACAAGTACCTGATCTACTACGGCGCCGCCGGCCTCTTCCTCCTCTTCGGCGGCTCCTTTATCATTCTCTTCCACGTCCGCCGCATGGCCAAGAAGATCAGCCGCCAGATGCGCGAGCGCTCGTACATGGCCGCCGACAAGGGCGTCGCCGATCATTTCCTTCCAGTTGGTGGCAACGGCATGGACAGTGGCAACCTCCCACCTTACTACAACAACTCCGCCAATGACGCTTTCTACGAGGGCGGAGGAGGTGGAGGGGCCACTATGTTCAGCAATGACCTCCCACCGCCAGCCACTCCCATCTCTATGCCCACCTCTGGCCTGGAGAAGAGCGACTACAAGGACAAGAACAATCTGTCCTCCAACTTTGACTCAATTAAGTTTTAAGTTTAAAGGAGTTATGGACTGGGAACACGCCCAACGCAAACGGCAAACACTAAGTGAGGATCCATTGACATCAAATTACCGAACGTTATTATTTCATATACCTATCAATATTATTATTTATCTATTTTGCTGTTAAATGATGAACGCAAATCTCTTCATAGATATTGGTCAGAAAACCGTAAAAACAAAGCACTGTTGAGCACCTGGCACTGTTCTGCACTACTTGTAGTAAAAGCACCTTAGCCTTGCCACTACACTAACAAAGCACTTGGTACACATAAAAAACGAAAAATCTTAAATACTAATGTTAATCAACTTGTAGTGCTCAGTTTAACCAATAAAGTAACCTAATTAGTTTACCAAAAACCGGGCTGATGAAGCCAACGTTAATAATTGATTGTAGCGATCAATTACTTTTTAAATGTAAAACAAACAATTTGAGAAAAAGGATTAGATAAAAAATTACTTCAGTTATTTTGTTTTATTTAGACCATCACCAACCTCAGTGTACCACCATTTTTCCAATTTTCTGTAACCATTGTGGTTCAGTTTTACTTTTCAATGTTTCATTCAGTGCATATTTGCAAGTTAAGAGCATATTCTTGCGCTAATTGGGACACCTTTCAAACACAACGATGCACCAATTCGGATGCTAAACTTGGCTGACAAAAACACACGCGACTGGAGTTCGTTTTTTTGCCACCTTTGAAAAATATCCGTTTTGCAAATAAAAATTAAGTTTAAAGATGTTTCTATTGTTGTACCGTTGATAATTAAAAATAATAAACTAAACAAGTTTCTATGAAACCAAAATATTCAAGTAGCAGTAAGTTTATGTACTCAATTTATTTAAAAGTATTGTGCAATGTTAAAGATTATCATTAAACATCAGTAGGCAGCGGCAATATTGTTTGTCACGGCAACACAATTAAACAGATTTATCTTAAAACTATTTGTAAAAGATACTAGTGAGAATTATATTTGCATTGCCTCATAATCAATTTTCTGTTAATTCTAGTGTCAACGTGGTGTGCACAGAAACACAATTTTTTTATTTTTATTATCTTTTGTCAATTTTATTGTTGACAAAATGAAAAATTCAGAAATTCAATATCAGCCACTATTGACTGATGATCACAAGCAGATAAATAACAACAAAATTAAGGTTCAAATTAGCAAACACCAACATTCATTTTCAAAATTTACAAAAAAATTGTTTACTTTTCAATGCTGTTCAAAACTGGCATTCGTTTTTGTGATTGTTGTATTTGTTGCACTTTACTTTTTGACAACACTTGAAATATCTTTTGCCAGCACCAAAAGACAATGGAAAAAACCGTTTTTTCATGATTCTCAATTATCTTCACAATCAACTCTTTTAAAACAAAACGTTGAATTGCAAGAAAAACTACTTAAACCATTAAGTGAATTAGTTGATAAACTAAGTAAATCTGTTAACAAATTAGATCAAAACACAGACAAAAACTTGTCATCAATTTTACCTGCACGTGTGCAATTAAATGATTTTCAAACGATGGAACTAGTTGAAAATGAATCCAACCTGCCAGCTACTTATTGGAACCGTTGGAGTAAACCCAGATTTGGTAAACAAAGCCTCAAAAAAGATGCAAAATATTGCCCAAGTGTAAACTTGAGTCCTCCACATGAGGTAATGTTGCAAAAATTAAATTAAATTTTGTTAAATAGTTTGTTTGTTTTGACTTTTAGACAAGAATGAACAATCTTTACTGGCAAGTCACTGAATCAAAAGAACCGGCTATTAAACTGTATCTTTATAATGCATATTACGACAACCGGATTTGGGGCAAACCAGTAGTTAAGATCATTACGACAACTGATCAACAAGTTGAAGTAGAAACCAGAAAATGGTGGTAGGTAAACAAAATTCAAATTAAATTACTTGGTAATAAAAGCACGTTACAGGTGTTTGCTGTGGTTTGATGATTTTAAATCACCTGTATTATCAAAGGTACTACTTTGTTTTCAAAATATATTATTTTTAATTAAAATTTAAGATAACAGATTTTTACACTGTTTTCCCTGAATATTGGAATTTTGGAGTTGCTAAAGGTTTGTTTGTTAATGTAAAAAATTAAAAAATGTTAAATAAAGATATTTTAGGAGTTTATGGCCCACAAGTGGCAACTTGTGAAATTCCATCTAGTTATATTAACCAAGTTCCTCAAGCAATTTCTATTCAAGCAACAGCTGAATGTTCTAAAATGAACCCACATCCTGACAATGCCTTACGAGTAATTTACAATACGCGGAAAACGGGCAAAATGAGCAAACCAAGCATAGGAATATGTGTGCAAGCTTTTCGGTTTGGTAAGTAAATAGTTTTGTATTTTATTTGTGTTATAAACCACAGTTTTACAGGCACATATGACGTTAGTGTCCGATTAGTGGAATGGCTTGAAATGGTTAAATTAATGGGTGCAGACCAGGTTTACTTTTATGTGTATGGTGCGACGCCAAATATGCTTAAAGTATTAAAATATTATTCAGAAAAAGAGGTATATGTGGCAATACCAGTACTTTTAAGCAATATATAATTTTATAATCTAGAAATTTGTTAATTGGCGCCCACTAACACTTCCCGGAGAAAACCAACCAAATGTTAAAAGTTTGTACAATTTTTATTTTAACAAAGTAAGTTGTCAAATTTTTAAACAAATTTATTAGCATTAGTTTTTATTTTTAGATTGGTGGCAAATTTTGGCCTCAAGAGCTGCTAGAGCTCAATGATTGCTTGTATCGAAACTTGTACACACACGACTATGTTGCCATTTTTGACATTGATGAAATGATCATGCCTCAAACAGTTGACAATTGGCACCAGTTGCTGGAAAATGTGCAGGTATGGGTTTGATTATGTTGGAACTTTCAAATGCTTAACAAACAACAATTTACAGCAAAAGCTTTCAAATAAAGACAAAAAAGAAAAAGCATATTTTGTTAACAGACATGCGTAAGAATGAAAACAAAATGTTGAACAAAAATTAACAACAATTAATTAGATATGTCTACGAAATGTTTGAACAAACTGAAATGATGCCTGGAAAAACTGCAATACCAAATTACTTGTACATGCAGCGTCATGTGAACCGAGCCGAGCTGTTGGCAGATGGAGTGAACATTAAATGTTTTCATCGTACAGATAAAGTGGTAAAGTAATTTTGTTTTTGTAAAACTGTTTTTACATTGATGATTGCTGTTACAATACCCTATCAGTTTGCAGTTCACAATCACTATCCAATGAGATGCATCAACACCACTGGACACCACAGCTGCAATGGAATGACAATTGATCCAAAAATGTCTATACTAATGCACTACAGAAGGTAACATTCACACATCTTAAGCTACATTTAGATAAAACAGTATTTGTATTGTATCAGAAATCGTTCCCCACCTGAAAAATGCCCCACACCAAATGATCTCATAAAGTGTTCGGTAAAGGATACTACCGCCTGGAGGTGGTTTGATAAAATTTCAAACAATGTTAAAGAAAAACTGAAAACTATTTTTCAATAAATCATTTATTGTTTAAATGCACATCGCCAACAATTGGCAAACTAGTGTTTTCGCTTAAACCACGGCAGCACTTCAAGAGGCGCCGACACTTTAATTTCTGCCGGGCCGGTGAAGCTCTTTCCACTGGCGTCCAGCCAGGTTCCCGAAGGCAGGTACACCTGTCGTTCTACTTGTCCCTTCTCCAGGACGGGCGCCACCACAATGTCTTCGCCCAGCATGTACTGGTCGCCTATCTTGAAAGTCCGGTGATCATCTGGCTCTGCGTACCACTGAACAAAAAGGGTAACACTGAATGTTAGACAAAGAAAATCATACACAACCCATTATAACAAAGCTTACCATCGGTCTAATGATTGGTGTTCCGTGACTGATCGCCTCCTTTGCCAGCTGAATAATTGTGTCCGCGTGTTCAACATGCAAATCGACAAACTTTTTGGTGATGTTGACAGTAGAGGCTTTGTAGGCCCAGGGTGGAATGGAGAACTGCAGCGACGGAAGGAAGGCATTTGCCTGCACCCACCTAATGTACAGCTCCTCATCAGGTTTAGGGCCGTACGCATTGCCGCCAATCATGTCAGGCAAGTTGAAGTGATAACCGGCAAGGGACATCATCAACGAGGTAGTGACCAAGGTTTGCAGGCCGTTGTCAATGCTCCAACGGGAACCTTTGTCCAGCATTCGCACATAGATGGGCAGCTAAGTCAATATACCAAATTGGTGAGTGATTCAAACAAACTAAAAAGTATTTCAGTTTACCTGTTGTGATTTATAGGCCGTTCTCACTTCAATCATACCTCCTAAATTGGAGCACGTTTGCACGTATCGTTGAGTCATCAAGTTCGGAAACAGCTGCACCTGTGGGTCTTTGACGTGAAACTTCTTTCCATACCAGTTCAGCTCGCCGGCGTCAAACTTATACGCATCCAAACCGGTGTCTTTTTTTAGTTTTTCCAGCCGATCAACGAACCATTTTGCCGAATGAACATCAGAAAAGTCAACTGCTCCACCTGATCCATCCCACCAGTCCACCTTGAGCGGATGTCCGTTGGCGTCTTTAATGAAGTGATTTTTATTGGCTTCATAGGCAACTGAATCATGATTCACAAAGGGATACACCCAAGCGGTAACACGAAAGCCTAATCCATGCAACTCTGAAATAAGCTTTTTGGGGTCAGGAAACTTGTTATGGTCAAAAGAAAAATCGCCGTATTTGTGCTCCCAGAAATCGTCAATTTCAATTTGAGAGTTTGGAAAGCCATGTTTCTTAATTTGTGTAGCAAAATCCAATACCTTGTGTTCATTAATGTTTTTCTTATACTCAGCCCAAGTTGACCAGATTGGATAGCGGATAACTCTTTCATCAGGTAAGTGAGTCGGGTGAGCAAGTTTAGCGTTTGATTTTGAGTTTGGATCAGTAAAAGATTTAGTGACATCTCGAATGTTTTTTCCCACTTTAACTGTAAACTGTATGTCAAAGTAGCCGCTAGGATATTTGTTCAACTTTGGATACGGATCATCATGTGAAACAGAAACGCAAAAAATAGGATCTCCGTTATTAGAGTCACGCCTCAAAAACCACGGATGGTGCTCATTAAGCATTACAGCAAAACCATCAGAGTTGATGAACAAGTGCTCAATGATGCCACCAAAATCATAGTGAAAAAAGTCGGCTGTTGTAAACGACTTGCCTCTGCCCACATGTTTGCTCGTGTCCATTGGCCAGTGTTGTTTTTGCTCTTCATATGTGCTAAACCTAGGGAATTGGGTAAAAAAAGGTTTAAGTTTAAAAACAAAAATCATACTTGACTTACCAGCTTGCTTTGTTATGGCCATAGTGAAAACAAACTTCATGCTCCAAACTTGGTCCGGCATTCATCCAGGTAATTTCATACTCACTAATGTCTGCATCATGAGTGTTTATGTGTCGAATTTCAATAATTTTATGATCACTCAGTTCAACGCGTGTTTTATCAGTTGCATTTTCCGGTTTGACACTGACAACTTGAGCCCCGTTGATACTGAAACGCAGCACAGAGTGAGCCCGATGTTTATTTGTCAAATCAAAAACGTTTTTGTGTATACTCCATTCTTTGTCGACTGCAGACAGAGTAACACTTATAAAAGTGGCAAACACTGCCAAAAATTTCAGTTTTGAAAAATGCATTTTCGTTTAAAAACAACAAAAGTTGTTTTGTTTGATTTAGACAAATTGAGGTTTTTATGTGTTTTAATGTTGTCTAAAACAATTATTTTATCATTTTTACTGATTAGATAAATTTATTTTCTAACTATTAATTTGTGAGTATTTTTAAAAAACGCTAAGTAATTTAAAATTTTAAAAAAAATTGTGTTTAAAACGCTTATTGCCAATCTACAAAATGTTAATTATTTTAAATCCGGTTTTGGCATTTATCAATATTAAACTGATTTTAATTTTTGCGTTGTATTTTATTTTTTATTGAGAAACAATCTAAAAATTTAATAAAACAATACATTGTACACTTGTACACTTTACCTTGACATATATTAAACATTTTTAAAAAACAAAAAACAGTAATCCCTTAACAACAATTAAATTTTGTGTAATTTAAATGCAATGCATGTATAGAAAAAACTAGTATTTTACAAATATTTTTCAAAATTAGTAACATTTTTATTTATGAAAATGAAACTTATAATGTTTTTAAAAGTATTTTATAGTTTGATTATTTGCTCGTCAATAGTTCGAGCATTAGATGAACAGTCAGTCAAAAAAGGTAATGCAACCATTTTTAATATTGCGAAATCAGATGAGGACGAACCAAAAACCAACATTATTTCCATTCCAAATGAACATCGTGCTGGTGAAAACGTGAGCAAGAATCCTTTGCTAAAAATATCATTTCCAAACACTGAAATTTTAAAAGTGGAAAATGTAGCCACCACTGATATGTGGAGTTTAACCATGAAAGACAGTCCACTGTTAAACATTAGCGTGACCAACATTGGAAGCGACACTACCAAACACACACTGCACTGGCTAACTGGCCCAGATGAGAAAGGCAACAACAACAGAGAGGTGTGTTTTCTTTACGATCAAGACAAAGCGAGCTGGTATAACACCTACCAAAGTATTGATCCAAAATGGCCCATGAACACTAAACACGCTATGGCAAAGTACCCATTCAACAGTGTTTTCAACTGGAACTGGAATGATGCCACCGATGAGTTCTGCTGCAAACTGGAGCACATGTTTGTCAATACAAATGGATTTGGGGTGATACTCGATGAAACCTGTCCTTGGTTTATACGGCGCGATAAAGCAGGCCTATTGTGTTTTTCCGTAAATGATACCTATCCTTACAGTACTGCTTTTGGAGGCAAAAAAGATTCATCCCTAGACATACAGCTGCATATTTTTTCTGACAAAAACATTCGAACCGTTACTGATTACATTGTGCACACTTCTGGCTTAATTCCCAAACCTACAGAGATTCCTGATGAGCGTGAATTTAGGTATTCTAGTTGGATGACTTCTTCTCAAAAGGGACAACTTAACCAAACTGGTTTATTAGCTTTCGCAAATCAAATTGTAAAGAATGGATTTTCAAATAAGAGTGCCATCATTGTCGATAGCAAATGGGAAAGTGTTCAAGGTGATTTTAAATTTAACACTCATCTCTACGCAAATGCAGCAGACATGTTGCAAAAATTAAATAAACTGGGATTTTCGGTTAAACTGCAAATAAATGGTCAATATAACAGCGACTCAGAAATTGCAAAAAGACATTTTATAAAGGATTCACAGTCTGGAAAACCATTTTTACATTTTATAGACTTTTCAAATCCTGAATCAAGCAACTACTATAGACTCCAACTTGAACTTTTAATGGCAAATAATTACATTAACTCATTTTTAGTAAACTTAGCTTGGCCACTTGCAAACTTTAACGTTACTGATGCAACTGTGCAAAAACAACAAGCTTTACTTTTAACCAAGTATTTAGAAACGGTAAATTTTAAAAGCAGTACTAGCGATTCTTTTTTTGCATACAAAACACAACATTTAAAAACTTGGCTTCAGATGTATGAAAATAACAAAAACTTGACTGAAATGCTTAGCGAATTTGTGTCTGTTGTTTTGCCTTTGTCAATTGGCGGCTATTCGTTTATTTCTCCATACATGATTGGCGGTCCTAATCAAAACTCTAAACCATCAGAAGAAGTTTACATTCGTTGGGTTCAAGCGGCCGCTTTTATGCCTACAATGGTNAAAAACTTGGCTTCAGATGTATGAAAATAACAAAAACTTGACTGAAATGCTTAGCGAATTTGTGTCTGTTGTTTTGCCTTTGTCAATTGGCGGCTATTCGTTTATTTCTCCATACATGATTGGCGGTCCTAATCAAAACTCTAAACCATCAGAAGAAGTTTACATTCGTTGGGTTCAAGCGGCCGCTTTTATGCCTACAATGGTTTTTTATCACGCACCATGGGAAATTTCGGATAATGCTGTAAAAATAACCCACAAAATGCTTTTCTTGAGAGAACAAATTATTCCAGTTTTATTGAAATTTGCCAAAAAACGCATCACCGATGGCCAACCACTAATACGTCCAATGGTAAAGTTAATTTTAATTTATTTTTTAATTTAATAGTTTTTTATGATAGTGGTACGACAATCCTGACGACAAACACACTTATAAAATAAGTGATCAGTTTATGATTGGAGATGAAATTCTGGTTGCGCCAGTGCTTCGTGAAACGGTTAAAAATGAAGTTGAAGTACGAAAAGTGTATTTGCCCAAGGGCGTTTGGCTTGATCCCTATGATAATGTTATCAACATGACAATAGGCAAAATTTATAATGCTCCTGCAGCTCTTAGTCAAGTACCATATTATAGAAAACAAATTTAAACTAACGTTAATAAGTTTTTTAAACTGTTCTGATGGCATTGAAACAAGTCAAGCATGATTTTATAAAAACTTATTAAACATAATTGTTACATGAAAATAAAATAAAGTAAAATAAATAAAAATTAGTTATCGATAAACAAATTGTTTTATCATTTTAAGTTGGCTAAATGTCAAGTTATGCATTATTTGATAAAATCTAAATCCTGTTGTTGTCCAAATAAATGCTTGAACAAATAACACTATTAGCAAGGTTTTACAACATGATTTTGTTTGTTTTTAATTTTTTGGCAATATTTTGCTTCACATTTATACAATGGTAAAAAACAATAAATTTTAAATGTTTTGTACTAACACTTTTTGTTTTAAAGTGAAAAAATATTTGATGTTACTCACTATGGAGCATCATTAGATGCATCTCAATCATCTTCTAATGCTGTTGAAAAAGCAATAGCAGCTGCAGTTTCTGCAGGAGGAGGCACTGTTCATTTTCCTTTTGGACACTATTCACTTTCTGGGCCTATTCACCTAAAAAGTCATTTACATTTGCAATTTGCCAATGGCACAACTGTCAAATTTAGTGACAACTTTGACCATTACTTGCCAATGATTCCGATTGTCAAGTCTGGTTTGCAAGTGCTTAATTTTTCACCCTTAATTTACGGTTTCAACGTGACAGACGTAAAACTCTCTGGAAAAGCCGTACTTGATGGTTCAGGTCAAAAGTGGTGGACTTTTTTCAATCAGCTTAGAGAAGAACACTCAAAAACGGGACATTGGAATAAAAGTTCAAAGTGGACAAAAGAATTTTTGTTTAAAAACGCCCTTTTGCTTTCAAAACATCATTCGTTCTCTGAACCTGGTTTTTATCGGCCAGCATTTTTTAATTTAATTTACTCCAGTCACATCATTGTTAGCGATCTGACCTTCATCAACAGTCCCTGGTTTACTGTGGCGCCTTATCGTTCTGAGTACGTCACAATTGATCACGTCACAGTTAAGAATCCCAGTAACGCCCCCAACACTGATGGCATTCACCCTGAAGCCTGTCACCATGTGGTGATCAGCAACTGTTTTGTCAGCACTGGAGATGACGGCATTGTCATAACATCGGAAACGGACAAAAATGTGAGCAAACGTAAACTGAAACAGTGTTTCAATGTAATTAACAACACTTTTATGCTAACAGACAAATGCCAAATACTCCTCGGAGAACATAACAGTCAATCATTGCACTGTACATTCAGGACATGGAGGAATCGTCATTGGAAGTGCTATATCTGGCGACGTTCGTGACATTCACGCACACAACCTTCACTTTGAAGGCACCCTGAGGGGAGTGCGCCTCAAGTCGACTCGTGATCATGGCGGAATAGTGGAAAACATTTACATTAAAGACATTACAATGAAAAATATTTCTGATGAGGGAATAACTATCAGTGCTTTTTATGATGTTAAAAACTTTGATCCACACAACATTCCAAGCAAAACTTTTGACGTTTCTAAAACGCCAACTTTTAGAAATATTCATTTGACAAATGTTACAGGCGATTCTAAACTAGGATTGCAAATTGTTGGTCTACCTGAAAAACATTTTGACAAAATTGAACTAAAACAAGTGCACTTAGTTGCTAAAAAAGAAGAAATAATTGTCAACGCCGATCATGTGTTAAAAGAAAACTTTATTTATAAAATTGATAAACATCTTCATGACAATTAAACAGTTTAAAAATGTTTTTATTTTACCCTTATTGTAAAATTTAAAAAAAACTGTTTTTATTATTTTATTTATAAAAATTAAAACATATAAAGTTTTATCATTTTAATTTATTTAAAAAATAACAATTTTGTTTGTTACAAAACATTGCGTTTTTTATTATTAAAGAAAAATGCAAACAGTTTACTATAAGTATTGTACATCAAGGTCAATTGTAAATAAACTTTAATTGCACTTTAGTATAGCGTAGTCTAAAAATAGAAGCTAGATTTAAGTAGATAACTTATTTCAATGTTATTGCACATTAAAAAACTAGGGTTTGGATGCTGACATTAGTAAAGCTAAATCAGCAGCTGCATACATAACAACATTTCCGAGTAGTGCGCCGCTGATTTAGCCAGTTGCAATACCCATTGGCTTAACCTTGAATTGGGTATATAAATATCAACAAGTCTTGCTGTTTTTATTTTTAACTAGAGTGCAAAAATGTCGGTGTTAGAGTGCAAGTATTGGTGTTTGGGGATTGTAATTATTGGGATTCTTCTCTTTTTGTAAGTGACTTAAAGTAATTTACAAAATTTTGATAGTATTTTTCTTGTAGATACATTAAACGTCATTTTACCTATTGGCAACGACGAGGAGTACCAGTGCATTCTGTTAAATTTGAAAAAATTGAATTTTATCGAAAACCACTTGAATGGATGGCAGAATGTGGCCAACTGTTTGGCTCATACTTTTTTATTCGTCCGGCGCTAGTGGTAGCCGATCCCGAGTTGTTAAAGCAAATACTGATTAAAGATTTCCATCACTTTACAAATCGCTACCAGTTGAGTGGTCATCATGAATTGTGGAACAAAAATCTTTTTTCTGCCAATGACAAAACCTGGAAACGACTAAGAATAATAACAAGTCCAAGTTTTTCTTCAGGAAAGCTGAAGTCAATGCATTTCATTATGAACCAAGCAGTGACCAACTTAAGCAGTCATTTAAGTCGTTTATGTTTAAATACATCGGCAGAAATTAATCCAAAAAAAAATTATGTCTGCTTTTACTATTGACGTTATAGCAAGTACTTCTTTTGCAACCCAAACAAATGCACATGAAAATGAAAACAATCCGTTTCTTGTTAATGGAAGAAAGTTAATGCAATTTAGCCCATTGCGTTTGTTAAGTATTGTATTTTTACCCTCGTGGCTTTTGCGTTTTATGGGCATTGAAACAATGTTTCCCCCAGAGCCTTTTAACTTTTTTGCTAACCTCAGTCGTCACATTGTCAAACAACGAAAAAGTAAACATTCAAAACCTAAACATGATTTAGTACAACTTCTAATAGACGCGAGTGTAGATCAAAAAGATATTGAAAATCCTCCTATCCCTAAAAAAATGATTTTCTCTGTCTTCACGGACTCTTTTTACTCTACAAATTACACCATTAGAGATATCGAGATGCGGTTTTTACCAGTACAAC